CTCCCATATGCTCCTAAGATCACAATCAGGTCAGCTTCACCTGCAGTGCTGTGCACTGACACCACAAGGAATTATTCTGAGCTCTTAGCACTGTGTCGTCCTCCTTAGACATTCAGGTACTTCGTAATGGTCTTGTAGTTCACTCCTGCTGAGCTAGCTGGAAATTACAAAGAAAAAAAAATTAAGTACTTCAGGAACAACCACTGCTGGAAAACAGGCTGCTTTCCAATTATCTTGCTTATAGGTAGCAAGGGAAGTGTGGTTTAATTAACTCTTCCACAATGGTTTACCTTAACAGGAACTTGAAAGTGCTGCATTCATCCAACACATCTTTGGCTTCATTTTCTTTAGACTTCACATCACATTCCATATGGTAGACCCTCAAAGCTGATCTGTGCCCACCTCATTGCGAGTCAGTCCTCTGGACAGTAAGGCACCATCTTCCGCTCAGTCCACACAAGAACCTGGGAAGTATAGTTTTTGTCCAAATGCCCAGTCGCACTCCTGTGTATTGGTGCTTCAAATCCAAGCTGGATGAAGTGTTTTGGAATGTAAGTTAAAGTTTGAAATTTCTTTTCCTTGGAGTGCTTTCTAAACCTGCTTTATGGAGAGGATGAGGACAGCACTACTTGAGCACAATGTCACAGTCCTCAAATGTCATTCCACCATTCCCTTTCATGCCTGCATATGAATAGGCAAGTTTTTGCACAGCTCAGAGGAGAAGAATCCTAGAACATCCTGGACTTCAGCAAAAAGCAGTATATAATACCTAGAACACCTTTGGACTGTAGTTGCCAATACCTGGACTTGAACATTAACTGGCATCCTCAGATGCAGATAGACAGGTATGAGCCACCTGGACTAGTTGGGGGTTTTTAGCAAAAACTTGTTTTCAGCTGCCTCACAGAGAGAAATGACTAAGAGAAAACATGGTTGTCTCTTACTGCTGTCTGCGTTTTCTCTTAAAAGCTGTATCAAGACATGTATTAATATATACTGGTCTGTGGAGTACTTGCCCGTTAGAAACTTTTCTGTTCCTTTGTTTTCCCTCCAGTTGTTCTTTAAGAAATACTAAGTGCCTGGAGGCTTAACAGGAAAGAAAAAAAGCCATTATTGCCCTTACATCATCTATACATATTGCACAAAAAAAAAAAAAAAAAAAAAAAAAAAGAATAGGGAACAAAAAGAGTATAGAAATAAAAAGAAACTTATGGGAACTGTCCAGTCTATTCCTTACTGGAACTCTAAATTGTTCTTCTAACTTCAAGTACAATATGCTTCAGTGGTCCATTCATTTTCTTTCCTACAAGAAATTTATATTACTCAAGTGAACTGTGAAGCTTGGCGCCAGTATTTATTTATGAGGCTGCTTAAGTTCAGATTACAAAATAATTTGCAATTCTGAGTAAAATAGACTAGTTTCTCTTACTCACATTTTCACAGAACCTCTCTTACCTAGGAAGAGCATGTATTTGTCTTAGCAACCTAATGCACCTTATTAAAGCACTGTACAGATATATATGTTATAGTACACATCTAGTTACATTCACTTACACATTTCCAGTTTGATACAAAGAATTAAGAAATTTTCACAAGTACTAAGAAAGGGAAAAAAAAATCTCATTCTAACGAATCAAAATTTGTTACATAAAAAAAAAACCAAACACTAAACCAGATATACATCAAAACAGCATTATTATTGGTGCTCTAACATTACCCCTCTAATGGTGCACTATGCCCTGAAAAAGTAGGGAAGCACTTCTGGAAAGCATAGATAGCTCAATTAAATCTACTGAAATATCATAATTTTTATGCAGCATTACAGCTTTTTTTAATTATGGAAAGTACAGTTCAGCACAAAAAATGTTCAGTGTGTTTCTAAAAAAAGTGAAATATTTTTAAAAACAAATAATTTAAAAGAACAGTTAGCTGCAGAAACAGATTCTCTTTTTTAATTTTACATTGAGCCCTGCTTTTTTAACTCATGAATAGAAATTCATAAATATGAAAGTTAAACCTAGTCTGATTTATTTCCATGTCTAGACTTGTGGGAATCTTGGGAAGCTTTCATAAAAGCTAAAAAAATTCTGCAGCCAATTACCACTACAGATATGACAGATTCGGAAATTATTCATATACTCCAGAGCTTGAAACTCCAAAATCCCCAGCAAATTTTACAAGGTAGAAGACAAGTAGTCATTAAATTGCCACTTCACTCACACCCCTGTACAATATAAAAAATAATACAGAAACCTCCAAGATGTGACTAGCCATATGACCTGCCAGCATTTTATCCTTCACTGATGAGATATGAGAAAGATAAGGCTGTATTTGATGTAAAAACATTAGAAAATTTATAACTATAGAATTCGGGTTATTATAGCTTAAATATAATTTGCTTTTCATTAAAATAATCTTTAACTATGCTTTTTAAAATAAGAACTTACAGCTACAGGGACTCTCACAATCGTGACATCAGACTATTTTCCTCATTAAAATATTAAATTATTAACAACCTCAAGTACTGGGGAATGGGAAAAAAATTGATAATTTCCTCAGTTAAGAAACACTGAGATTCCTTTAGGATGAAGCTCAGAATTTTTTCTTCCTCATTAGCACTTACTGGCTTGCCGTGTGCTTCTCTATAGTGTAGCACAATTGCAGGGCAGAGGATCACTCTGTCCTACCATGGTGTTACCAACCACAGTATTTGGGATGTAGCACAGCTGGATGAAACAAAATTTCTTCACAGACTATGATGCTAAAAATAGCAACTCATTTTCTTCTAATAGTCATAGACAAGACACAGAATTTCTTTTTCTTTCACTTGATCAGTTCCTTTAAGATCTCTTGTAGCTTACCTTGGCTATTTTTCTTGGTTGAGCTTTGAGAACCATCACATAGACACCCTCTCAATTGTTTGCTTTCTTCCAGGACAGCATGACAGTTCTACAAAAGCAGCTTTAAGACCTAGTGAAAATAAAAAGGAAAACAAGAAGGAGAAAAGATTATTGTGTATAATTGGAATTTCTACACCATCTGTGCTGAGGACTGCATAGGCTCTGCTGAATCAAGCAGAAGATGTAGAGCATACCTGGTAAAGCACTGAGGTTAACTATTATCAGTCATCTCTGAAGGCTTTTCTACCTGAAGTGGCTTGAAGTAGGACAGGTTATAAAACAGATACAACATATGAAAAATGAAGACTTGTGATGTTGGGTTTTTTTCATCTTCATTTGGGTTTTTCTTGTTTGATTTTTAGATTGGTTTTTATTTTTAATTTTCATTTTCTCTCATCCAATTCCCAACTGATTGCTGTACAAGGAGGAACAAGGGGCAGGGACTTAACTTCTCTTTAAGTGAGGCTTCTAACTGACTTCTATTCAAGTTGTACATTCAAAAACTTGCCTCCTTGGTATCCATGTTTCTCTGTACCGCTATTTAAATTATAAATCACCCACTCAGCAACGCACAGCATATACTCCACTGCATTACTTTGTAGTTCCAGGCTTGACCAGCATGGTCTAGAAAGCAAAGAAGCTGTCCTGACCTCCTCCTAGGGCCTGGGCCGGAAAAAAAAAAACTTATTCCTTCAACATATAACCTCTTGTCTTTGTTGCAGGTAGCAATTGTCTTGCAGGCCTGGAAAAGGGCATATCTATGAAGTCCTTGCAAATCTGGGATCTGTGCTTGCAATGGATGTAATTGTCCTATCTTATATAACCACTGATATTTCATCCATACAAAAAATTACTACAGACCAAGGACAAGGAAGAACAGCATTTTTATTACTAACTTTTACTGATAAGTCCATAGCTCTGTTAGACGGAAAATTTCAGGTAGAAAGGTTTTTTGAAAGTTAACAACTCTGCTTTGATTTCATGGCAACGATACAGTCTTAAGAAGCCATTAAAGATGAAGAGAGCAAATTGTATCAGGCAGTTTTTATGCTGTTTCTTCAAAAAATTGGAGTCCATGCCAGGATTTGTGAGAATGACAGAGGTAAGGTTTTCTATCACATAAAAAAAAAAAGTCTTACCCCTGACCAATTTTTTCAATAATAGCTATGATTTTGATGCACTTCTACCTTAAAAAAATATGTAAGTGTGACCTGTCACTTGAAAACAGGGTTGGGGGAAGAGATGAGGAAGAGAAAACTAATAGTCCACATACTGCTGTTTTAGTCATCTTCTAAGAACTCCATCCGCTACAAAGTACATGAGCTTTACCACTTTAAAAAATTGACTATCTTTAAAATGACCGAATTCCCAGAAAAACAGATAAGAGAGCGTAAATCAGACTAGAAGCCTTTTAGAACAATTTCTTTTCAGATGAAGGGAAAGCTGAAAGGCTGCATAAACGGTATTTCACCTAAGTTACAACATGATAGTCAAGAAAAGGTGTTGATTTTTCTATGCGGTAAAATCCAATTGTCAAGGACAGAAAGGACTGCATTCCCCAGGCTGAGGCAAAGTGTGCCTGGCTATCTAAAGTCATTACATCTAGCAACTCCAACAGATGGGGAATGGGAAGTTATCCATTATATTCTGAGGTCATATTTGCTGTTTCTGAGGAAGTCTAAGGACTCCTGGCCATTCTGGATTGTGGGGACAATCAGGATAAGGGGAGTGAATATCAAAAGAATGTCCTCAGTGCTATGCAATGCTATTTGGTTGAGGTCACCTAAACCCTGCTCTTTTCACATTAAAAAAAATGTTTAAAAAATCAAAACCCAAGTTTGATCCACAGACTGGAAAAGCAAATGTATTCCCTCTGATTTAAGAGGTTTTGAAAGCCCTGTGGTAGTCACTGCCACTGGTGAGTGGTGTGAGGTTTGAACAAGCCAAGGCTTATGATCATGGCTAATGGCAACAACACCATAATGATCCCTAGATTTTCTGTTGCCACTGAAACTTAGTTACTGAGACTTATCTAAAAGTAAACTTCTGGTAAGTTAATCAGTATGAAAACACAAAGAACCCTTCTTGTTTCTTCCATAGGACTACACCCTGACCATGTACTTTCAACAATCCTGGAGGGATAAAAGGCTCTCCTATTCTGGAATACCTTTGAACCTAACTCTGGACAACAGAGTGGCTGACCAGCTCTGGGTGCCGGACACATATTTCCAGAATGACAAGAAATCATTTGTCCATGGGGTGACAGTGAAAAACCGAATGATTCGACTCCATCCAGATGGGACAGTCCTTTATGGCCTACGGTACGTTGGGTTTTTTAATCAGCTACATTACTGTCCTGGCAGAAGTGCAGGTAGTACCAATGCGACTTTCCTCTCCTTTTTCCCAGTTTCTCAGTGTAACTGTATGAGTCAGCACATACTTTATCTAGATGACCACATCACACCCAAGAATTTTCCACAGAGCATCAACACTATCTTTAATAACTATATCCATAACTAACAAAGTCTAATGCCTCCTTTTTTTTTTTTTCAGCTCTTCTGAGTATATTTAAACTACTAAAAGAGTTCTTTATTATGGTTATCACTTGGTAATCAATCACAGTTTAGACCATCACTTACTTCCTTCTAAAATTTCTCCAACAGCTCTTTAGGACAATGTGAAATTAAAATTTGGAGTCATCTGAAGAAATCTGACCAACAGTTGGTAGGGAATAAAAAGAAGATGTTTGTAAGTTTGAGTTAATTATTTAAATATTGTCTAAATGTCTGAGAATGGGTTTTCTTTAATCTTCCTTGGTTTATAACTGCCTCTTCACACCACAACTTCTTCTTCATCCAGTGCAACCCACATTCACCCCACAGATAAAAATATATTCTAAAGTTTGAACAGGCACAGTCTGATTATAAGGTACACAGATGTGAAATTAAAACTATGCCAAGCTATTTCTTATGTTGAGAATTTTGCAGAGCCTGAGTAGGGCTTTACTGCATTATTTTTGAAGTTAAGGTAGCTTTGCTTGGAAATAACATTGTCTGTCTGAAAGAACCTTTGATCACTCTTGTCATTCGACAATAAAAATAATGTCTGGAGAATATAAACCTGAAAGCATAGTTCAGTTAATCAGAAAAAAAGTTACAAAGCATAAAACTTAGTTGAAATACCTCAAAAATGTACCTAAGATAGAATTAGAAAAAAACTCCAAACTACTGCAGCAGTTCAAAATAAAAATAATATTTGGGAAAGTATAACTTAGAGCTTACTGAAAATAGAAATTTGAAATTACCTTTTAGCCTATAAAAACATAACCTTTTAAAACACAGCACTACCCATGCAGAGAAAGCCATCCAACCTATCAATTCAAGCTTTTCAAGAAACAAGAAATTATTTAAAAATCATTATTTTGGCTAATCATGAGTTTGCTTTTGAACCTATCAGACTCCCAGGCAGTACATCAGTTGCTATCAAGAACCACACAGTCAGTTTAATACAGCTAGATCTGTTCTGGTACAGAAAAACTGCTACTTCAGTTGTGAAAAAGAAAACAAGGGACCCATGAGGAATTAGTTGTTCAACTAAAGGCTGTCATTAACATCTGCTAAACAGAGCATTTAAAAAATGCATCTTTCCCATTGCCTTCAGACCTCCTACAGTTCCTTTCAATCAAATTGACTCCTGCAGGACAGTTACCATGATAGGAATTTTTGGCCTGATAACTTTTCAAAATATTTCTCCCTTTTTTCTTTTTTTTCCTTTAAGGCCAGGAAGTAAATTTATTTACATTCTAATATTTGCAAAGTGGCAAGAATGTGCATTAGGGGCAAGCACTCCCTCAGAGGCAGTTGTATATACAATATAAACTACACCTTGAAATGTATACCATGCATATGCTTCCACACACACGCCGTACATTGGATATCAATAACAGTCTTCTGCAGAAATAGCAAAAGAGGCTGTGACACATCTGGCGAACCTGCTGCAAGTCCTCTCGTGTTTCATCCACAAAGCAGCAGAATGGCCAAGAAGCTGTGACCTTGCCCATGCTCGTCCTCTCATAGGTGATCAGGCAAACTTGCAGTGCAACAGCAAAGATGGACAGCTTCACATAACAAGGTTGCTAGTTCATATGATTGAATAACCATTCACATTTGAATAGTTAAGCAACAGTTCTGCAACCCTGCAACAGCTGCAGCTCTGCACGTTAATACCCCAGCCAACATCTATCACTTCTTGTGGTAGGAAAACCAAACAGAAAAATGAAAACAAAAAAGGCAGAAAACCCCACACTAATATAAAGGGTAACCTACATCCCACACACTTGCAGTTCCGTACTCTGCAATTCCCTTCTCCTCCCTTACCCCTGCCTCATGCCCTTAACATACACTGCCACAGGAGCAACTCTGAGTCTCCCAGATTTCTGGGCTTCCCCACCTTCTCACCCAGATTTCTGGGCTTCCCTACCTTCTCACCCAGGTTTCTGGGCTTCTCCACCTTCTCACCCAGAGAAGGCAGCAGGGTCTCAGGATGCAGCAGGGCCAAGTATTGCTCGGTGTGCCCGTATCCACTGGCGGCATTGTCGTCACCAACCACATGCATAAAAAAGTGCTGAGCTGTCAGGTCTTTTTCACAGGTTGAGCTGGTGTGCCATGTTTTCTCTGGGGGCAAGGCAGCTCTTTAGATGCATCTGGTGAGTAGACTTTGGCCTATAGTTACCACACATATAGTGTCCCCATCCCACAAGAGGGATCTGATCAAAGACAAAACTAGCAAATGAGCAGAAGAAAAAATGACGTTAAGAAACATTAAAACAACTTTCATAAGACTTATTGCTTTAAACTTGCATTAGTGATCACTTTCCTCATGGTAATAAATATGCTTCTGTGAGCCTATAGTTACCTTTAGGTCATATGAACATCAATTTTTTCATGTGCTAGATGACACATATGCCTCATAAGAAATAAAACATGAGAAAACACTACAGAAAATGTTTTTAGGTAAAATTCAGCATTGCCCGTTAGAAATTTGAGCACAACTCCGATCTTAGTCTCCCAAGTAGAAAAGAAACCTTGTGATATATTAACTTGCGCTTGGTTTCTGTGCAGTAGGGAGAGGGAGGACAGTATCACCAAACTTCTCATAGGTTGTGACATGTGAGTTACATTTTCCTTGCTGAAGACAGATCATTGGCCAGGCATGACTTGAACAAGAAAGACAACATCGATTACACTACAGACCAGGGTCTGAGTTCCCAACAAATTAGACAGGGTTTTAACCCGTCCCTCAAGGATGATTTAAATGCTTCCTTTCCCTCATGCCTCATATTCCCCAAACAACTTTTCTATTTTCGGTTGAGTTAATGTTTCTGTTCAGGCTCAGATATGAAATTATACTGGCTTCTTTAAAAAGAAATTGGAACAATCATAGCAGCTCTAAATAACCTGCTTTGTTTGCATCCATGTACACAGCAGTTTGTCATTGATGCAATGTTCAGTCTCAACAGAGTTGAGGAAAAATAAACCAAGGTTAGTCATTTGGCTCTTAAGATGAATAAACGATGGAAACATGCACATAATACACTGGACTGGTTTTAGATCATGTAACAAAGCATTATCACTTCAGTATGCCTCCATTATAGTATTATTTCTATGATGAACTGAACAACCCCTTTAGCTATTTTTTCCAGTAACTTTCAGCTACCATGTCCCCACAGTTTAAAAAATGATATATGCTATAAACTTGTGCAGATACAAAATACTCCTAAATCTTCTGCCCTCTAAAACTGTGCATTGCAGTTTTGTCTCTTGCTGCAAAATCTACTTCTGTTAATTGTTCGTAGCAGTGAAACATATATAACCTTACTAATCAAATAACTCCTTCATCCTTTTACCCAAGCAACCACACACACAAACACGTTTAACTCCATGTTATTATTTCCACTGAATTCCATTTCAAATATGTCAGGGAAGTTGAGTGTCACTGTTAATTATTATGTACCTGAAGTGTGTGATTCTTCAGTTTCTGTCAAGTACTCCCACCAGCAGCTATTATCATTTTCTGTGGTGTAGACACCTGCTTCCCAAGAGAAAAAAAAATTCTCTTTGAGTCAATGTGCAAACCTGCAGCACTGTGAGGATGGTGTATGAGACAGTTCTAGCCTGGTCCCAGTACAGCTGGTAAAATACTGAATACTATTTTATTTATTTATACCTAATTTTTCCCCCCATTTTTAGTAAATGATTGGATCCCATTATCTCTCACCCTTTTGGCATTAGCAGTGTCTTCCATTAATTTTATTGCCTATTCAGGCAAGATCCTCTAGAAATCTCCCAAATCTCTAGATTCTCAAGCCAACACATGCTGTTGCTTCTTTTGCTTCTCATTTCTCACCCTTTTCCAAGATACTAGACATGTAATCTGTCTTTGAGATATTTAAGAAAACATTAATAATTTATTGTACTGAATTCTATGTTCAAATTCTTATGTCATGATGTCAAAAATGGAAGCTCTGATTTAAATCATCCTTTCCTAGTATTTTATGACACCTCTTAATTCTTCTCAGATTTTCACTAGCAGAACAATGACATCTTGTTGCTTTGGAGACATCTGTTCTCTTATCATGACATTGCCTCGAAATAAACAGCAGAATTTCATCTGGTGTGCTGAAAGGAGCGTATCTTTGAAAAGTATTAGTTGTTAAGAAGCATGACTTACCTTCAACAATACCTTTACACAGATTTCTCTCCCTTGTGATATTCAGACAGCAACATGACTTCCATTAGAGCAAGTCTTTATTTCAAGGGAGGGAGACTGAGCATATCATGACAAGATGTGAAGCTCTGGCTTGGAGCATTGAAAACTTATGGTTTCAGTGAGACCACCATGTTTAAACTGCTACAGCAGAGGATGCAACTTTGCTAGACACTGCTGCAACTGCAAGAGGACAAGGGGAAGAATGATCTTTGCCTCCAATGTAAGGACTTATTTCACCACTTCTTACACAAGTAAAATCTTCTGTGATGTGAACACTGGCAAACAAATCCACCTACCTCCAACCAATTCACAAATGCAAATTGACTGATGCAACATTGGATTTACCAACCACTTATTCATGCAATATCCATGGAAGCCCATCTAGCATATCATAAAGGTGGAATACAAAAAAGCTATATTTAATTGTGGAATGTTTAGGTTTTAAATATAATCTTAAAAGTGAATTTTAGTGGGAACTTCCCTTCTTGACTGCATCTATTTTGGTGATATAGCCGTGAATGTTACTAAAGAAATTAGCTAGACCCGTGTTTACATCTTTTATTACAGGGAATCTTAATAGTTTGTGGGTTGCTTTTGCATTGTCATGATTTGGGGCTATGGAGTTTTGGTTTTACTCTAAACACCTTCAGGAATTTTCTTAAAGAGTCAGTTATTGAGTCCTTTTGAGGACAACCCATCATGCCAACAAGTAACCCACTTACACTGGTACTCAATAGATTGTCCTACTTGTGTTATTAAACAGCTCCAGCCAAAAAAAAGACTACAGTTTATTCTAAATTATAAAAAAACATGTCATCTAACGGAAATGAAAAGCTACACTTGTTTCACTTCATTAAAATACAGAACAAATTATAAAGAGTTATTTTATTAGATGATAGTTTTGAAAATGCTAAAAAATATTTCTTCCATGTATCAATGGCAAGAGATTTACCAGTGAGTATTTTAAGACTCAACCAATTTGGGACTTCCTTCATATTTTTAAAACCTAAAGATATACAAGAACTTTGCAAAAATAAGTCAATCAATTATTCACCATTTCTTCCACCTCTCAGAACATTTCAGTTTCAGAGGGTCAGTTTTCAGGATTCACAGTCAATGAAGACATCCTCAGTGTATAGCCATTAGGAAAGGGTAGGGATTAGAGGGGGGCATTCACATGCACACTGTGGGCACCTGTTCAGCCTGTCACAGGTCACACTTCATCTGCTGCAAACTTTCTTCCAACAGGCCTTTGAACAAGCATATGTGCCTGTTGGGCAATCAGCACGACCCCTTATCACAAGCAATGCACTGCTAGGAGCATTTCTTCAACTCAGAAGGGAAAAAAGGGAAGAAGAGGACACGGCAAATTGATTCTGAGGCAGAAGGATTGTCTTTGTCCCTCCAGCTGCTTGCAGACTGTTTGAATTTTCTGTGTTACTCTGTGAATCCTGTTGTCATCTCCTCTTCCTGGTCTGTAACCCTGTCCTTGGCCACAACGTGGCTGGTGTAAGATGATCACAGAATCACAGAATCTTTTAGGGTGGAAAAGATCTTTGAGATCATCAAGTCCAACCATTAACCTGATATTGACAAGTCTAGCACTAAAGCATGTCCCTAAATGCCACATCTATATGTCTTTTAAATACCTCCCGGGATGGTGGCTCCACCATTTCCCTGGGCAGTCTGTTCCAATGACTGACCATCACCCTTTCAGTGAAGAAAATCTTCCTAATATCCAATCTAAACCAACCCTGAGACAGCTTGAGGTCCTTTCCTCTTATCCCATCATTTGTTACTACAGACCAACTCTCCACATTGCTACAACCTCCTCTCAGGTAGTTGTAGAGGGCAATAAGGTCCCCCTTGAGCCTCCTTTTCTCCAGGCTAAACAACTCCAGCTCCCTCAACCACTCCTCATAAGACTGGTGCTCCAGACCCTTCACCAACTTCATTGGACACACTCCAGCACCTCAATGCCTTTCCTGTAGTGAGGGGCCCAGAACTGGATGCAGGATTCAAGGTATGGTCTCATCAGTGCCGAGTAGTGGGGGACAATTGCTGCCCTAGTCCCCCAGGCCACACTATTTCTGATACAGTCCAGGATGCCATTGGCCTTCTTGGCCCCCAGGCACACTGCTGGCTTGTACCTAGCCAGATGTCAGCCAGCATCCCAGGTCCTTTCCTGGTGGACAGCTCTCCAGCCACTCTTCCCCCAGCCTGTAACGCTACCTGGGGTTGTTGTGACCCAAGTGCAGGACCCGACACTTGGCATTGTTGTACCTCATCCAGCTGGCCTCAGCCCATCAATCCAACTTGTCCAGATCCCTCTGCAGAGCCTTCCTGCCCTTCAGAAGTTCAACATTCCTGCCCAACTTGATGTTGTCTGCAAACTGACTGAGGGTGCACTCGATCCCCTCATCCAGATCATCAGTAAAGATCTTAAGCAGGACTGGCCCCAGTATTGAACCCTGGGAAACACCACTCATGGTCAGTTGCCAACTGGATGTAACTCCATTCACCACCACTCTCTGGGCCTGGCCATACAGACAGTTATTTACCCAGTGAACAGTGCACCTGTCCAAGCCATGAGCAGACAGTTTCTCCAGGAGAATGATGTTAGAGAGAGTGTCAAAGGCTTTTAATAATGTCCAAGAAGACAACACCTGCAGCCTTTCCCTCATCCACTACATGAGTTACCTTGTCATAGAAGGAGGTAAAGATATGCCTTTCATAAAGCCGCATGGCTGGGTCTGATCTCATGGTTGTCCTGCACACATGTTATGACACGCAAGATGATCTGCTCCATGACCTTCCCTGGCATTAAGGTCAGGCTAACAGGTCTTTAGTTCCCCAGAACTTCTTTAAGGCCCTTCTTGTAAAAGACTGAGCAATGACCAGTATCAAAACTGGGAGAAATCAGTTGGCACCAGCACT